CTCACCAGAAGGAAAGTGAAGCCTTCTATGGGTCACAGACTGCCAGGTTCTCTGTCACCTGGTTGAAGGGGTGGGGGAAGCTGCAGCTGGGTGAGGAAGAACCCAGGTACCAGAGCTAGAAACGTTTGGGGAAACCTTGAACAGGGCCAGGACATGAGCTCTGCCTGGCTATGGTGACTCTGGGCCAGGTAACCCTACGGTAGTCTCAGTCTGTCACTCTGTCTCACGGGGGATGTTGGCTTGTTACCTTTGGAGTCAAAGTAGGTAAGCCAGGGAAATCAGAGTTCCCAGTAGGGACCAAGACCAAAAGAAGGAGGGGTCTGGCCTGTCCCAGAAGGTCAGGCTGGACGAGGGGCTGTGTGAAGTCCAGGCAGCCGAGGCCCTTGCCCTTCAGGTTACAGGCATCTGGGTCATCGTCTAGATCCTCATATGACATCCAGAGACCCAACCCTAGGGACAATTCCTCCCAGCTGGTAGCAGTGAGTCAATCCTGGTACTCACCCCACCAAAAGCTCTGAAATGAGGAGACCTGTGGGTGAGGGTAAGACTCTTCAGGAAAAGGTTCTCAGTGGCAAGGAGGCTTTGAGCTGTGCCTTAGGGAAGCCAGAGGGGTAGGTGACAGGCCCCCTCACAAAGCCTGCCAGGGAACACAGGAGGGACACAGGTGTAGTGGTGGGAATGTTCTGGAAGACAGCAGGCAGCCTCCCACTCACTGATGGGACCCAGTGAGGTCAGGTCCACATGCCAGATGCTGCATTCCACACACGTGTGCACTTTGTTTCTTGTTTTAGAGACAGGGTCTTGCACCTGGAGTGCAGTGGTGCAATCATAGCTGACTGCAGCCTTGACCTCCTGAGTTCATGCGGTCCTCCCACCTCAGCCTCCTGAATAGCTGGGACTACAGGCGCATGCCACCATGCCTAATTTTATTTTTTGTAGAGACAGGGTCTTGCTATGTTGTGCAGGCTGGTCTCAAGCGATCTTTCCACCTCAGCCTCCCAAGACACTGAGATTACAGGGACGAGCCAGCGCTCCTGGTTCTTCTGCATTTTGGCTGCCTTGGTGCACAGGAGGCATGAGCTGGGGGACAGAATCTGCTCCTGGACCTTTCCGAGGCCTGCACCCAGACTGACCCCTGGGCTGCAGGAGGCAGTGTGGAGAGAACGCAGCGAGCAGAGCCTACTAGCCAGTGATGGAGACCCAGGCTGGGACTAGGAGACAGAACTCCAACCCTCAGCCTAGTGGCCCTGCCAACCCCTTGAAAGAAATAAATGACCTAGTCTCAGGTATTTCTCTGGAGCAATGCAAAATGGACTGATACAGCCTCCACGCTTGGTGTCCACTGGACCTGACCACTCGGGGAAGGGCTGCTCTTGACTCTGCCGTTAACATCCAGACTACAACAGAGTTGTTCCCCTGCTCTGCCTCAGTTTACCTCTCTCAGCTGACAGAACAGGAATAATTGAGTCTCATGTGGGCCACAGTATAAAACAAACCCCTGAGTCCCACAGGAAGGTAGGTGGGCCGTGTCCAAGGGAAGACAGATCTGGGGAAGTATTTTATGTCCTCGGGGTGGCAGAGGGACATGGAGAAGATGCCTCCTTTGTGGGCACAGGAGAAGGGAAGATAAACAGAGAGGTGCTGGATACCTGCCTCACCCCGACCTCCCCCACCCCATACCAGGCCCACTCCCACATAGCCCCCAACTCAGGAGGCACCGTTCTCCTTAGGGTCTGTGGGACTTCCCGGCTGAGCTGGGGAAGCTGACAGTCCGGATTCATCAGGGGCAGCACGTAGGGTAGGTGATGCACTGGACGGAAGTGGAGAGGGGACATGGGAGTTGTGGTGTCAGGTCTGGGGCTGCCAACGTGGTACCTGCCCTGGCTGTGGGCAGACCAAGCTGCTCCACCCTGCCACATGTGGCCTTTAATTCTAAGGCCTCTGAGTTCTAGGCCAGGACTGGAGCCACACTCCCCTTGGGGACAAGGGACACAGTCCACACAGACTTTACCTGTGCTTTGGGCAAAGGCAGCTGCACAAATGAACAGGAGGGGCCCTGCTGGAGAGCAGGAACGGGCCTGGAGTACTCAGACCTGCCTCTGTGACAGGCAGACTCCTGAGAAGAAAGCTCACTCAGCCAGGAAGTGGGGGGCTTGGCCTTCAGGATCCCTGGAGTCTGTAGCCCCTCCCACCCAAGTATGCTCCAGAAAAAAGATGCAGAAATAGCAGGTGCTCCTCCCAGCTGCCCGCTGCTTCCTGGTGTGGCCTCAGGGACCCTGGATGAGTCAAGGTGGGGCTGTCAGCAGCTGGGGGCAGGGGGAAAGCTGGTCCCCAGGATGGATGCCCAGCAGGGACATGCAAGTGTGGGGAGTGCTGGGTCCTCAGGGCTGAGCCCCTTCTGCCCAGGGGGCCTTGGTGACAGGCCTGATGCTGAGCTCAGCCCGAAGAGTCAGAACCTGGTGGCAAGTAGCCTCTCTGCTTGTGAAGACAGTCCTGCGGTCATTACCCCTCTGCCCAGGCTCAAGCATCCAGGCTGTGGAAGGGCCAGCATTCAGAAAGAAGGGAACTGTGGGTGTGGGTTCCCTGGCAGTCAGGGGCCTTGGTGGACAGAGCCCCCTATGAGGGTGAAAGCCCCCTTCTCACTCCACAGCAATGCTGTGAGAAGGAATTGTAGGGTTTTGGGGTGTGGACCCTCCCCACCCCCACCCTTGGGACACTCTGGGTTCATTAAGTGCTGACTTTGGTCTGGCCTCCCCCACATGCTCCTTGGGGCCTGCTGGGTCCCCACCCCCAACCCCAGGAGTCCCTCTCTCCTGGGCCTCAGCCCATGCAATACCCTTTGCCCTGGAGACTTCTTGAGGCCCCCATCTGGGACCCAGCCAGTAGACAAGAGGCCACCTGGGACCCTCAGGAGTCTCTGTGGGAGGGGTGGGGGCTCCATGGAGCCCACAGAGAACTCCTAGGGGTGTGGGAGTGACCTTCTCTCCTGCCAGTAGGAGGTGGAGAGCCCTGGACACACTCCCTCAAGAGAGGCTGCTCCTTCATTCAAAACATTTGCCAAAATGTAGGTGATATGTGTCAGGCAAGCAGCAGGGACATAGGTGTGTAATGATGGAGGGAGGTAGAGGAAGCCAGGGGAGAAGAGGGAGAAGGGGAAGGGAGGGAAGAGGAGGGAGGATCTAAGGAAAAATAAAGCGCCTACTCCAGTCATGTGCTGGCAATGAGACGGATGTGGCTGACAGAGCTGATGAGGTGCCCATGGCTGCCCAGGGCCTGGGGGAGCCCCGGGTTCAGAAACTCCAGCTCCACTCCAATTCTTCTGTCCTTGTAGGAGCAGCCTCACATGATCCCTTGTGGCTCACGCCCCCATTCCTCAGGTTGTGGGGCTGAGTTTATGGGTTGCTGGATTTCTAGCCAGGCTTCCCAGCCCCACCTGGGGATTTCCCTGCTCCAGATTCACGAAGACTCTGCATGCATGGTTCTGTCCACCCAGACCCCACTTTGCATGTGACTTCCTACTTGTCTTTAAGGTCCAATTTAGGAACCTCTTCTGGGTCCCAAGGACACTCCCCCCAGGTTGTCACTGCAGTGACCAATGTGTTGTGCTTACCTGTCCCCTCCACAGCCTAGAAGTCTTCCTGGGCCAGTATGAACAGTGTAAGGGGACAATGGCAGCTGCCACTCCAAATCCCAGCCTAGTGTCAGGCCAGGCTGCTACAGGAGGGATGGCGTGGCTGGGCCCCACCACCAGGATGCTACGCAGGGCTAACTCGCCCCAGTGGGCTGGCCCCAGGCCCAGGTGGAGTGGGAAGACCAGCCCAGGAAGCCACCTTAGCTGCCCTGAGAACAAGCCTTGAGGAAATTGAGCCCAGCTGGGCAGGATCTCTAAAGGGTGGGCCCAGGAAACCACCCCCCACCCGCCCAAGCTAAGGTCAGTGGGCTGCATGGTCACCAGCAATGGGAAGGTTGGGACAGTTCCACATACACCATGAAGGGCATGCTAGGCCCTGGGAGAGGGGTACGTGCTGGGGTCTGGTGACCAGCATTTCTCACCAGGCAGTAAGCCACCGACCCACCACCACCAGGACCCATGGGGTCCCAGGAGGGAGGGCTTTCCCGGAGCAAGTATGCATGGGAGAGGGCCCCACAGAGCCAGAGCTGGCTGCTCCCTGGAGCAGGAGCCACTCAGCACCTTCTGGAGCGGGAGCAGGGTGAGCAGCCTGAGAGCAAGGGGTAGGCACACAGTGATGGACATGAAAGCCACCACCTCACACACGGCCAGGCCCCGCTTCCAAACACAAGCTGAGTGCTTTAATGGCTGCCTCCAGGGCCCAGAGGCTCATTAGCATCCATTAAACAAGTCCCAGAGCTTGCCAGCCTCTGGCTCAACTCAGCCACCTGAAGGCAGGTGGCTGCCAGCGGGCCTGGCTGATGGGATCCAGCTTGGGGAGCAGCAGGGTCCTCATCCAGATCTTCAGAGGCTGTCTGGGCCCGACCTGTCATTCAGCCTGCCTGCACCAGTCCCTGAGTCCCGGCAGCTGCTTTGCTTCTAGAAAATGCAAGTTTCCTGGGAGAATGCCTGGGGCGGGGGAGGTAGTTCAGGGAAGCACTGATGTCAATTCAGGACAGGCCTGTGGCCTCCTGGGGTGGCAGTGGTGGGCCCAGAACAAGGACGCCCGCTCCAGGCTGCATCCCCACGCCAACACTGGGGATCGGGAGTGGGCATTGCAGGCTCCCTCAGGGAGCTCCAGGCCAACATGAACCCAGGTGCTGAGGGTGACTCCTGAAGGTGTGAGTCACACCTGCTGCATAAGGTACCACTCTGTGACAGCCAGGTCCTAGGACACATGAAAACTTTCTATAGGAAGGTTCTCTGGCTCCGATTCTCCGCCCTGTCCCAGGAAGGAAGCAGAGACCAACCCGTGACAGAGTATGTGTCAGGGAGCATCCCCATGACAACCCTGTGAGGTAGGTGGTGTTGTCCCATTTTCCATGTGGGGAATTAGGGCTCAGCAGAGGTGACGTGTCTTGCCTAGGTCACACAGCAAGAACACGAGCGGGGATTCAAGCCCAGGCCTGTCGGGCTCCAGAGCCCATGTGTGTGTTCTCTAGGGAAGAATGGGAAAGAGTCCTATCCAATAAACACCCTCACATGAAAAGCTCAGAGGCTCTCAGCCCACCCTGGGTGGGGCCCAGGGTCAGAGCTGGACTCCCTCCAGGAAAGCAGCCATGGCCCCTGCATCCACTCCTGGCCTGGGCAGCTGGGAAGGCAGAAGGAAGGCTGGAGAGTGACCGCCGTACACATGGCACCGACAACCAGCACTACAGGTGAGGGCTCTGGCGGTCTAGCAGTTGTGGGCGGGGTGAAGGCCAGTCTGATCTTGAGGCCTTGTGGCCCCGGGTGGGCAGGACCAGCCCACTGAACCAGGTGGTCTCCAGCAGACTGCGGAAGTGGGCCTTCAGCGTGGGGCCAGGCGGGCTGGCACTGGCAGCAGGGGTAGTGGAGGCACCACAGGACTCTTCCCCAGCAGCTGCCTCTGCTTTCTCCAGGCCAGGGCTTGGTGGCTTCCTCCCTGGCTTCCTGACCTTGGGGGCCAGTGACTTCTGAGCCAGGGCAAGTCTCTCTGGCTCATATCTGGCCACAGTGGGCTCTGAGGTGGACACAGCTCCAGCCTCAGTGTCAAAGTCACCTGCAAAACGAACACACAGTCAGGCTGCAGACCCCATACCCTCAGGTCCCATCTCCTGGCCTCCAGAGCCCCCCAAACAGTGCTTCTGCTCTGCCCCACATCAGACTGGCATCACACCTCTTCCCCACATGTGCCTACTGGCCAGACCTTCCAAGCCAAAAAGATGGGCTTATCCACAGGTGACCCCAGAGCTCTATCTGATGCAGGCGCTGCTCAGGAGAGGCTGTTTGGGTACAAGGATGAGAGGAAAGTGGCTCAGCAGGTTAGGAATCATCAGCCTGGCCCAATACCCATTGTCCAGATGGGAAAACTGAGGCATGAGAACAAAGGGCCCTGCCATACATAAGATAGCCATCATCTTTATGCCAGCCCCAGAGCCAGAACCCAAGCCCCAGCCGAGGCCCAGGCAGGGACTGCCCTAAAAGCCACGCTGGGGAGCGCAGGAACCTGGAATAAAGGTAGGCTGGAATCATGGTCTAGGGGAACACACAGAAAGGCGGCCTCCAAGGATGGGGGGAGGGAGTGAGAACAGGGGCAACACGATTCAGCCAGAGGCAGGAAGCCTGGTCCCAGTCACTTCCTTCTCAGGCCCCCCGCTCTTGCAAGCTCCACTCAGAGCAGGCGGGGACTGTGTGGAGCCCAGACTCCACTGCCCACCAGGCAGCCCAGAAGAAATAGATCCGACCCTCTCTGGGCCCCAGACAGCCCAACTGTATGGGGAGAGGACTGAGCTGGGCAGCCCAGCCCTGAGTGATGCCCGACCCTCACTCGGTAACGGAACGCCTGAGCCTGGATTTCCTTTGCATCCCAATAAGGCATCTGCTTCAATTTTTTAAGCCTGTAATCTCAGCTATGCAGGAGACTGTGGCAGAATTGCTTGAACTCAGGAGGCAGGGGTTGCAGTGAGCCAAGATTGTGCTACTGCACTTCCAGCCTGGCAACAGAGTGAGCCTCCATCTCTAAAAGAAAGAAAGAAAGAAAGAAAG